CATGCCCCTCCCCAAGTCCACCAATAGGGAAGGTCCTCCTCCCCTTCCCTCCGATCCCAGTCCACCAGATCACATCAGGAGTGGCTGCATTGTCATCCTCCATGGCCCGGTAAGGCTGCCCTCCCCTCAGGGGGAGGTGATTGAAGAGCAGGCCAACCAGACTATGCCAGAGGCAGTCCCTCCTCCCATCACCATGTAACCCACTTAGACACTAAACTGCCATGGACCACATCTGCGCAGGGGCCCTAGGCCATCTCCATGCCTGGTACTTGATTGGGGTATGAGTCTCTGGGAAGACCCCTGTGTTCAAATTTTCTGGTTCTGTTGCTCTCCTTGTGGAGTTCCTGTCCTCTCCAGATCCTACTATTTCCCACTTCTTACATAAGATTCCATGTGCTCCGCCCAACCATTGGCCATAAGTCTCAGTGTCCGCCCCAACAGTCCACAGGGCAGAGCCCCCCAGAGGCCCTCCCCGGCAGGCCCCTAGGCTGTTTCCTGCCTTCTTCTTCTGATGTCCATCCTCTTTGCCCTTCAGGATGTGGATTGAGCATTCTAGTCAGAGTCCTCTCTCTAGATCAGTTTCTCTATATGTACAGATTTTAGTAGTTTTATCCTATATTATATGTCTATATGAGTGGGTATATACCGTGTGTGTCCTTCTGCTTCTGGGACAGCTCACTCAAGATGATCCTTTCCAGGTCCCACCATTTACCTGCAAATTTCATGATTTCCTTATTTTTCATTGCAGAGTAATACTCCATTGTGTAGATGTACCACAATTTCTGCATCAATTCTTCAGTTGAGGGGCATCTGGGCTGTTTCCAGCTTCCGGCTATTACAAATAAGGCTGCTACAAACATGGTTGAACAAATGTCCTTATTGTGTATTTGAGCCTCTTCAAAATCATTCTTAATGATCTTCTGCTTTACTTTTAGACTGGAACCTGGCATAATTGTCAGAGGCTTCATCCAGCAGCTGATAGGAACAGATGCAGAGACCCACAGCCAAACATTAAGCAGAGCTTAGGGAATCCTGTGGTAGAGCAGGAGGAAGGATTGTAGGAGCCAGGTGGGTCACCAACATCACAAGAAAACCCACAGAATCAACTAACTGGGCTCGCAGGTGCCCACAGAGACTGAACTGACAACCAGCGAGCCTGTGTGGGGCTGACCTAGGCCCTCTGCATATATTTTATGGTTGTGTAGATTCATCTTCTTGTGGGACTCCTAACAGTAGGAGGGGGTCCTGCCTCTGACTGTTTTCCCTGCTTTGGGGACCCATTTTCTCCTTAGTGGGTTACCTCGTTCAGCTGTACTATGAGGGAAGGTGTCTAGTCTTATTGCAACTTGATATTTTGTGTTTAGGTGACATCTCTCTGGGAGTCCTGCCTTTTTCTGAAGGGAAATGGAGGAGGAGTGGATCTGGGGGAGAGGAGAAGTAAGGGGTAGGACTGTGAGGAGGAGGAAGGGAAACTGCAGTTAGGATATAATATATGAGAGAAGAATAAAGAAAAGAAAAGAAAAAATAATAAAACTTCATTCTATTTGGGGTGGACTGATATTTCTGCTTATTTTTTTAAAGGAAACATATAATTATTCCTTGTAATTTTTATGGAAGGAGTAAATACTTCTCCTTTCAGGGTGGGCTGGGCCTTTTCTCACTTGGGAAATGTAAACAGAGATGAGCCTATCACACAGTTGTTGAAATGGGAGCTGAGAAGAGGCTGGTCCTATCCAAAACCTCCTGGAGGAGCCATATGACCTCTGATTGACAGGGGACGCTGGCAGGGAGAAAAATGAATGAAAGGGCCAGCTACAGCCATCTGCTTCCTGGGCACCATGTGAGACACACAGACATAAGCTTCCCCTGAGACAAATGCTCTGTTCAGTGGTCAGTGTGTCTCTGCTAGATGGGCGTCTTAGTGTGTTTTCCTGTTGCTGTGATCAAGTACTCTGAAAAAAGCTGCTTAAGGTAGAAAGAGTTTATCCGGCTCCAGTTCCAGGCTCAAGCCCACCACGGCAGGGACATCACAGTCACAGAAGTCTGAGAGGACTGGCTGAGTAGCATGTACTTGCTCTCGAGAACAGAGAGCAATGAATTAACACATGCATGCCAGTGCTCAGCTTGCCCTGCCCCTTTCATACCTGCTCCCTGCCCAGAAAATCTCTCACATACAGTCCCAGAAGCTAACTTAATCTAGACGGCCCCTCACAGGTGTGCCCTGCGGCTTGCTTCCACGAGGTTGAGGTGACAATAGTAATCATTAGAGTTGAGTACTAAAAAAATTTTTTTTTCTTTGAAGGGAGTAAATTTTAAACACTGTAATGAAAAGTCTCCAAACTGCTTTTAACTCACTTCCAAGCCTTAACTTTTATTGTGGCTAGATTAAAAAGAAACCAGGCCTGGCCTTATAATGAGTGATAAAAGAGTCATGAGCTGCTACTGCTGTCCACTGATCCTGTGATAAAGCCCTACCAATGGCAGGTTTAAACGAACTCCAAGGTAACAAACTAGAAATGGAAGTGGCCAACACAGCTATCGTTCTTTCTTAGGCACATCAGGTATTTTAAAGCTACCTAGAACAACTACTTCTAGGCTAAAATAAATAATATCGAGGTTAAATATTTTCTCTTGGTTGTCCCAAAGGGGTGGAGTGCTGCTTTTATGCCTAAAGCCTAGGTCACTCTGGATGGAGGGCAATTTTGTCTTCTTCCGTGAAAGATACAAGGAGCAAAGTCCCCGGGCGGTGAGTTCCTGTACTTTCCTGGAGTGTCTCCCTTTTCTCTCAGGGTGTACCCTTTTTCTCATACTTTAGTTTAGGTGTTAACTCTTCCTATCTCCCTCCTCCTGGCAGTTGCCAAGCTAGCTAGCTCCCCTGGCCTGCTCTCTCTCTTTCTGACTTCCAATAAATTGTTCACAAGTTCTCCTCTGAGTCTGTCTTTAAATTCTTTTTTTTAAACAAGACAGAGAACCTGCAGCGAGGACTTTGTGCCCAGCTGACCAGCTGACGTGAAGACAGTCATGGCTTGTGGGACCATCGGAATTCCCTCTCTAGAACTTCCCCCATCTGTGTCACACCTTGGGGTATCTTACTTGCTACAGCCTGTTCTTAACTGCTTTGTTATGTTTTCACCTGGGCCTTCACCTGAACAGAGAGGAGAGGAGGTGTTCCCAAATTCCTTAAAAGCTTGTTCCAAATTCTTTCAAAGCTTGTCTGTGTGACCTTGGACCATAACTGCTTTAGGGAATGAGTTCTGGAAGTAGTTTTTGAAAAGAAGTTAGGGGTTTCCACAAACCTTTTCTTTTTGTATCGATGTGACTTGTCTTTGCTTTACCTATAAAAAATGAACCCTGGAATAAACCCATGCAGCTTCAGTCATACTGACAGCCCTCTCAAGCTGATCCTGTGTGTAGTTTAATTTGTTTTATTATTTTAATCCTCACTCCCCACTCAGGTACTGTTTGACTCTGCTGGCAGGCTCTGGCAGTTTGTGTAGAAAGCATTGCTAAAACTATATCCATAGGACGCTTCAGAAAATTCAGCAGCTTGGGAGAGTCTGTTATCAGATGGAGAGGTGGGATGCAGAAGAAGGCAGCAGTTGGTAGGAATTGAGTCAGCAGCATGCTTGGCTTCCAGAAACAGGAACATGTTTTGGACTACATGAGCCCTTCCAGTTTCAGTGGCAATAAGAACCCTGACAGGGTACAGCCTTATTGATGACAAGAAGCATGAAGTCTGGAACAGCTTTTGTTACATTTAAGAAGATATAGAGATAAAGCATATATATATATATATATACGTATATAATATATTATATAAATATCCTTTTAGCATGTGTTTCATTTTATTGGTGATGGATAGCTTTCAAATTTCAAGGTCTGGAATACTATTTACTAAGTACTAGGTATACAGGGATAAGCTCCTGGGATGTCATTCCTTGTACTAGAAAGAGGCTAGAGATGGTACAAACTGCCACGAGGAAGCCATCAATCAGGCAAGGGATGGGGGTGGTAAGACAAGAGTTAGTGGTGAAGGTGGTGCTAGCACAGAATCATGAAGGGCAAATCAAAATCGACGCTTGGACAATGTTGGGTGAAAATAACAGTCTTGGAAGGAGAACAGCAAGCACCTAGAGCCGGTTGAGAAGTGCAGAGAGCAAAAAAGAAAAAAAAATGGAGAAAAAAAGCAAGAGAGATGGGATGCAGGTGTGGAAATGTCTTCCTTTCGAGGAGGCAGGCAGAGATGATGGAGCAGGCTCCCTGGGACTAAGCATGGGGTGCATTCAGACGAAAGACTGCTTTGAATGTTGATCCCCTCCCCTTTGCGTTCCTAAAGAGGTGGGAGACGAAACTGTGTGTGTGTGTGTGTGTGTGTGTGTGTGTGTGTGTGTATGCATGCATTGGAGGAGGTCAATGGAGAGTGAGGAGCAATGTACTTCCTTTACACAGAAGCTGTTACTAACACCAAGATGAGGTGAGCGGGCCTCTGCAGTTGCTTGAAGCCACACTAATTGTGTAGGCAATGCCTTCACACACACTCACACACACACTCACTCACTCACTCACACGTGAAGACACGTGCACATGCACACCCCCGACTATTTATTTAATGTAATATATTGAGATACATTAATTAACATATATTAAGATCTTAATGTATGGATGCAGTGTGTTGATATGTATAAAGTTTCAGCTCGCCCAGAGTAGAGGTCTCTGCAATTGTTTAGTTTTTAAATTTTATTTTAATTGTGTGTTTGTGTGTGTGCGTGCACGCGTGAGTGTGAGCACAGGTGTCAGTGCTGGGCAGAAGGGCGTTAGATCCCTTTGTGCTGAACTTAGGTGGTTATTAGCCACCTGACGTGGGTGTTGGAAACTGAACTCAGGTCCTAGTGAGAGTAGCAAGTGCTCTTAACTGCTGAGCTGTCTCTCTAGGGCTACGTTCACATTCTTCTTAGTTAAATCTCTGGTCTCCTAGAGAAGAAACAAAATCAGAAAAGTGATTTCATTTACAACAGATTTTATTGAGCAGTTAAGAGTGTGACTCATTGCAAGGGAAACATCTTGACTGAATGTGTGTATTTGGGAATACATACTTAGGATGTAGAAGGACTGCTGCTTCTGTGGGCCAAGCTCTGTGGTATGGACATGTTTCCTGCCCTCCAAAGTATTCCATAACTGATTGAGAGGAAAAGGAGAAAACTGTGTGGTTATACTGAAGCCAGTAGTGTCATGCAAATGCTGTAGGCTAGGAAGAGTGGCTACAGTAAGAAATGCCAATTCACATAGTTGAACTAACATGCCTTCCTAGATTACTTTTATGCCGTATGCCAGAGGGCCCTCGATGGAAAATCCTAGGTAGAACGACACTCTCTCTATGTTCCTTCCACTTCTGAGTGAACCCGAATACACGGAAGTCACCGGTATTTTTATTTTTGCCTCTGTTCCGTATTCCACAGAGATGAGCTTGCCTTCAGCCTGGCCATCCAGCAGGCGTAGGAGGTCTTTGACCTCTCTCTTTTCCCACACTATTCCACTCTGCCAGAAGGAATTTGAATCTTGCACTTCACTGAAGTACCGTTCGATTTCGGCCTTGTGGACGAGACTGTGAAGACCCTTCTTTTGTCCCAGGTAGAAGAGCGTGCTCGGCTGCCTGGACCTGCACATGCGCCTGTACTGTCTCCGGAAGGACCGATTCAGGGAGGAGACGTATTTTTCTATTAAGGTGGAATCTTGATCTAGCTCTTTGTTTTCTGGCCAGAACAAGAGGCAAGCCAGGAAATATGGATCAGGATGCGGGTGGTTGAGCCCCACAATCTGCAGGACCTCTCTGAGCTTTGTTTTCAGCGTGTTAAATGGCAGGATGTACTTGGAGCTGGGTTTGAGGCAACTGAGAATAATGTTGGCCAAAATGAAATTTTGTGTCTCTTTTGTCAGCCCTTTTGTTAGCCGCTTGTTTTGCAGTAACAGGAAGCTGTAATCTTTCACTATATTTTCCATGTTGTTAACTTCTTTGTGGTTTGGGTTTAGATATTCGAGGAGTCCCGAAAACGTGTCTGCTCTCCAGGCTTCTATGCGTTTCCTACAGGTCTCCTCTTGAAGTAACAGATCTTCTTTACCCTGTAACACGTTGGTATCCAAATGGCAGAAGAGTTCTGAGTATTTCTTGAAACTCCGGGTGACTTTCTTCATTAGTAAGAGTTCTGTCATTTCTTTTGGGGTGTTCCTTGGTTTCAGAAGACCCATATAATCCAAAAAAAAGTCAAAGCACCTTTTCAGATCCGACTGTAAATTCTGTAGGTGGAATGTAAAGTTGCTGAGAGCAACATAATATTCATCTTTGGGGTCTGGAGGGGTGATCCCCTTTCCAGATAAAAAGTGTACCATAGATTCTTTCAACATTTCATTTTCTTTGTGGAAAAGCGGTGTGAGCTGAAGAAGCTGGATAGTATCAAGACCTACTTCTATTTCACCGAAGAAGCCAGCTGTATTGTATGTGTCGTATCTTCTTTGGGACCTCTGTGGAGACCAGGCTTCAGTTTCGTAGTCTTTGCTATCAGTTTGCTGCTGAGACTCTTTGAAAGCTTTGGAGGCTTTTTCGGCAATTTCTAGAAAATGTTTTAGATCATCCACACTAATAGTTTTACAGCTCTTATTTTCACCCAACCACTGTTTGATCTCACTTTTGTAAACTTGACCGAGCGTATCTGAAATATAGGAATTCTTAGGTGCTTTCCTTTTGGCCAAATTTGCCCAGACCAGAGCCGTGCTAAAGTTCTTCTCTTTAATATAGAAGTGTCTTGCCAAAGCTTGACAAATGAATGCATTTTGTGGGAACCGATCACTTCCTGCTGTCAAGACATTTTCGGTTTCCTCATTCTGCAGTTCTTCAATTAAGGGGGAAAACAGTGTGTCTGTTTCAGCTCCATGCTCCTTGCGTTGTCTTGTAAGTAAAAGAGTTTGCACGTCATGCTTAAATTTGTCTCTTCCTATTCCAGAATCATAGAATACATTGTCTTTTAGCATATTCAGTGCAATTTGACACTTATCCATTCCGTAGCTCATTTCCAGTTCTTTTAAACAGTAGATGGCAATTAGAGGGTGAATGATGCGTATACCAGTGTATCTCCCGTATTCTGAAACTTCGGTTCTTATTAGAAGTGTGGAATAGGTTCCCATGTTGTCTTCTACACTTTCAGGTTTCCCGTATTTACTGGTGTAAGTGATTCCAAGAAATATCTCACACTGTGAGACTGAAATTGTAGAGTCAGTAACATAGGAGTTGAGTAACGCCAGGTAAGAAATGAGCTGGGCTTTCCTGCTGGAAGCGTCCAGGTCTTTCAGTGTGTTCTTCACCACATTTTTTATGTAGGTCCTGTCAAAGTTGCCTTTCAAGATCATGAAGGAATAAAAGTTTTCACAGTTCTTATACTCCTTTTCAATTTCCTGTAGTTTGGCCTCAAAGGCTCTTTGTTCTTTGGGAGAAAGTTGGTATTTGAGTGAAATGCTGTCCGCTAACTTTGCACTTTCATCTGGATTCTGCGATCTCATGCAGTTCAAAATTATTACTAGTGTCTTTTCATATCTCAGACCCTTTTCTGCTATAAAGGAATTGATGGCATTCTGCAGAATGTAGGTGTTTTCTTGATCTTCAAAATCATCTACAAGGAGAAGAACGGGAATGTAGTCCTGGTGGCTGGTAGCTTTGTAGCTGAACAGCTTGCTTACTTGTTCTCCAATCTCTGCAAAATCAGTTGCTTTGTTTTTCAATACAGCACATCGGAACTTCTGCTTTAGGTCCCAGAGAACATGCATAGCCAAGGTAGTGCCGCCACATCCTGGGTGGTGGTACAGGTTGATGACTTTGGCAAAGATCGGCTTAGGGGAGTCTGCACACTGCTGTATTAAAGTAGTAAGTTCTTCAAACCTATCCCTTTTCACAAAAGCTGAGGAATAGTTTTCAGAAGAAAAATAGAAGTTCCACCAGGATACTTTGCCTCCTCGATAAAAGTGTTCTTCTCTCGATTTCTTAAACTCTAGGAATTCAGATTCATCTTTCTCTATGTCTGTGTCCCTACACTCATTTTCACAGAGGATTTCCAGTGCAGTCAGGATATCTTCCTCCATTTTCTCCAGAATAACGGAGGAGGATCCACAGGAAGGCAAAAATCTTCTTGAAGACTGAATGACTGATTTCAGTTTAAGGATGGTATTGTTGATCAGTTCTATATTTAAAGTGGAAATGCTGTGTTTTTCTAAATCATCTTCAATTCCCAGTCTTACTTGTAGTAGATCACTCCATCGTTGGTAGATATCAGAGTTAACACAGATACACAACGTATTGTCCATTCCATTGAAAACTTGATAGAAAGCACAGAAAGTCTCAATGAGTGGATCTTTTTGGTTTTCTACTGGAGAAAGCAAGAGGAACACCACCAAGACCTTCCCTTTCACTAAAATATTTTCATCTGTGAGGAATGAAATAAGTCTTCTAACCCCAGAAGCCCTTTCTTTCTGCCATGCTTGTGGCTCTAGAGGTTGACACGACTCATCCTTCAAGTCTACTCTGCCATTGCAGAAGATCCAGCTGGGCTGCTCATAAAGTTTCAGAGAAGAAATTTTCTCTTCTATGGAAGTTTTTTCTTCATACTGACTGGGCAGGTGAAGGTTTGCAACTCTGCTTTCTCTGTAAGCCTTGACCACTCCCTTGACCCGAGAGAAAGGATCAAAATCCAGCACAGCAAACAACTTAATTTCCTTTATAAAATCTAAGTGCTCTGTTTGATTTGGTGCACAGTTATTTGTTACAAGAATGTACCAGTCATAGTAGGATTTATCCAGTGAGCCTTGGTGTCTGGTCAAAAGTTTAGACAGTTTTAGTCCTTCACTCTCTTTCTTCACCACCACCCTATGTTGTTCTTCTTCAGCCTCCTTTCTAGACTTTGTCCATGTCTTTAAATTCTCTAGAAATTTTTTGAATTCTCTATCCCGCTGCTTGACATTGGCCAGGATATTTTTAGAGCTAGCTCCTTCTCTCACAAACAATGAACTATCTTTGCTCTGTTTCCATGTTTTATCGGTGCAACTTTGCATCATAATGTAGAAAGACTTTTCTTTACATATGGAATGTTTGGGAATAACATCTACCTCTATGACAAATCTATTAGATGGAGTATTGTTTTGCAGTAGGACTTCCACAAACCTTGGTTCCCGTATACATGCCCTGGCTTCCTTGATGTCACTGTCTTCAAAATACTTTGTGATCATTACATTGAAGTGATTAATAAAGACATCTTTATTGGTGACTTTCACACCAACAACTTCTCCGTGTGGTTTGTCTTTCACTCCAAAATGGATAGTGCCATTGGTGCGTGAGTTCATACAAGCTGCTGCAAATCTGAAGACTTCATTGCTAAATTTCATCTTAAGGTCCTCTTCTGTGGCTGCTTCTGTGTTTGTGAAAGCTTTGAATTCATGTACTGGGTCGATTAAATTGAGTGGCCCTGTTTCAGGCACTCGTAGAATAGAATGTTCTATATATTGTTTGGCTTCATGGAAAGAATCAAACGGGTAGGGCATGCAAGCCATCTGTTCTGGTTTGGGCTGACCACCTTCCATGTCTTTAGTTGCTATATCACTAAATGCATTTTCTTCCTTAAGACTTGGCTCTTCCTCTTCATTCTGTCCTGTCTCTCTGAGATCATGAGCACTATTGGATGAAACTGATTTTTCTTCTTCATTTTTGATCCTTTTTTGGTGTTCTTTTATTGAGAGTTTTGTAATACTTAATTGTCTGGAATCTTGATTGTCACTTTCAGGGGAATTGTTCAATTTGTTATACATACGCCTTATCAGAAGTGCAGGACCCCGTGGTAACCCCATTTCCCTAAGATCCTTTTCAGTTAGTTCTTGAAGGACCATCCCTGTTACCTCTTCATTGAACAAGATTTGAGCATATTTCTCATCAATGTTAAGGTCTTCAGTTATCCACTTTTTCACATGTTCTTTGGTCCAGTCTTTTATCATTTTAGGTTGAGTTGTTTGTCCATTCATGTCCAAGCTTCAAATTTATTCCTTGGAAAAAAGTAATACAATAATATTTTAGCATTGTATTTTATCACTAAAATCACATAGCCAACTTGGTATGTAACATTATACAAATAGATATATGATATTTCTCAAGAATAACTTAAAACTGCTTCATAGTCATTCTTTAGTTTTACAGTCCTAATTACAAGCAATTGTAATTGTGATAGTGAAATAGGCAGTAGCTGTGAGCTAAGTGAAAAAAACCTTTTGTCTTTGATGACTTTTCTTTTTAGACTTATCTATGTGGAAGTTAGGGTTTTGTGACATAAACTAGAATCTTCAGTAACAACATTACTTTTCATAGAAGAATATTTTAGTTAAACTTCAAATATATGAACATCCACAAAAATTAGTATCCCAAACTCAAACTGATCAGCAAATAGGGTAATGATCTGAATAGGCCAAAGCATCACTGAGAACATAAAGAACAATGTGGAGGTATCATTCCTGATCTCAAAATTATACTCTGGAGCCATAGTGACAAAACAACATGGATTTAACACAAGGACAGATTCGTAGACTAGAGGATCTAGAAATAATTCCTATAGCCACAGTAATCTAAACTTCCACCCAAATGTCAAAAGCACATGTTGGAAAAAAAGACTACCTAACCAACAGATGTCTATAGCAAACTAGATGTTCACACAAAGAAGAATAAAACCAGGTAACTAGTTCTAACTCAGCACAAAATCCAATTGAAAATGAATCAAAGTCTTAATGTAAGATGTGAAACTTGGCTAAGGATAATATAGCTAAAATATTTCAATATATAGGCATGTAACAGGTTTGGCAGAAATAAAGGTACCTAAAAATATATCTAAAGAAATACCCATGTCTCTCAATTTTGCCATCAGACAATTGAAATATTGCACCCCAAAGAATCTGGAGTTTCCCTTATGCTGGAAAAAGAAAAGGCCCCAGCTAGAGAGAGAAATTCTCTCCCAGAAGCAGATTCACACATTTCTAAAACCTTATCAGACAAGTTGAGACCTAAGCCCAGACAATGATGGGTCAGTAGTGGGTGGGACCAAATCTTGACCATGACTGCTTAAAGGTATATATTCTCAGACCTCTCTTTTAACTTTAATTTCAGTTTAGGACACAGAAGAAGGATAATGAGGCTGCAATGAATACATATCATGTTTCTGATTTCCACTTTTTTTTCTCTTCTAATTGGCTTATTAAACAAAAATGACTGGACTTTATTTGGGGCACAGGCTGTGATCCCCAAGTTTGGTAACAGACATAAGCAAAAGCTTTCTGAAAGGACTTCAGTAGCATAGAAAATAATTCTAAGAACTGACATATGGGATGATATGAAATTTAAAATCTTCTGCACCGTAAAGGGAACAATTACCAGAGGAAATAGACAGTCGTTAGCAACTATATGTCAAATCCAGGATTGATATATAAAATACATAAGTAACTCTAAAATAACCAAACAAATCATTTAACCAGTAAATAAGCTAATGAGCTAAATAGAGTTTTCAAAAGAAGAAAAACAAATGGCCAAAATTTATTTGAAACAAACAAACAAACAAACTGTCAACATCCTTAGGCACCAGAGGAATGCAAACTAAAACTTCTTTGAGATTCCAACTCACCCCATGTAGAATGACTGTCCTTGAGGAAACAACAGATACTGGCCAGTTGTAGGGAAAGAGGAACCCTTCTTTACTGCTTGGGGGAATGGAAACTGGTAGAGCCATTATGGAAATCAGTTCACCAAAAACTAAAAACAGAGTTGCCATTATAATCCAGTTCTATGGCTCCTAGTACATAATCAGAAGGCTCTACATCTCATCCACAGAGGTACTTGAGAATCTTTGTTTATTGCTTCACTGTTAGTGATTATTAATATTTACTATTGATTTATCTTTTAGTTAAACAGTGGTTATTCCTAAACCATCTTTATACCCAAATCATCACACAGAGACTAAGATTTATTTAATTAACCTAGAGCACGATGTTGGGAAATAATTACTCCATCCTAAACCTCAGGCAGAGCTTCCTCCCACATTATATTTGCTTTTTCCCACATTATATTCAGATTTCCCACATTATATTTGCTTTTTAGTCATATCTTAGGTCCAGTTTATTTCTCCTGATGTTTCCAGGTCCTCTCCCACTCTTCTTTCTCTTCCCCTTTGGAACATGATGTCCCATCCTGTTCTCTCCATTGCTCAGCATTGGCTGGTTGTTTTATTGACAACACAGAGAACAAATGATAGAATGTTTACACAAAGTTCAGACAGATGATGTTTAGAATAAGCATCACAATACAATGTCTGGATTGAAACCAGATAGTAGGGTAGAGAAATCAGCATTTGAATGAACAAGGGTAAATTGTATACATTCCACAAGAACATTATACCAACACATCACTATAGTGAGCCAGCCTAAACGTATGTTAACAGATGAAGAGATCAAAACACGTGGTGCACAGATGCAGAAACCCACAATCAAACACTGGGTGGAGTGCAGGGAAACTTGTGGAAGAGTGTGGGGAAGAGTGTGGGGAAGGATAGAAGGACCAAGAAGGGACAGGAGTTCCACAAGAAGACCAACAGGCCAACTTTCCAGGGCCCATGGTGGTTTGTGGTAACTGAAGCATCAACCAAGAACCACGCCGGGGCTGGACCTAGGCCCCCTACACAGATGTAGTGGATGGACAGCCCCATCCTCATATGGGCTCCCTAGTATGGGGAATGGGGCTCACTCTGACATGGAGTCTGTTGCCTGCTTTTCAATCACTTTCCTCTGGTGGGGCTGCCTCAGCAGGCCACAGAAGCCACATAAGCTCAGTCCTGATATTACTTGATATGCTGGAGTGGGGTGGGAAATCCCCTTGTCTGAGGAGTAGGAGAGGGAGGATAGGGAAAACAAGGAAAATAGGTGGGACTGGGAAGAGAGAAGGGAGAAGGCTATGACCAGGATGTAAAATGAATAAATAAAAATTAAAATAATGAAAAAAAAATAACTGACAGGCAGTTGGTAAAACTACCAAGAACTACAGGACAACCAAAGAAAACCCGGGGGTGTATGTGGATGTATTTGGGGAGAAAGGTGGTGCACATACACAAATGAATTTTATTTACAACAGTAGTAAAGAAAAAACAATCATTATACTTACAGGAAAATGGATGGAACTGGAAGTGAAGCAACCTAGTCTCAGAAAGACAAACGCCACACACTTTCTCTCATATGAGGAACTTAGATTTTAATTTTTATAAGGTGTGTGTGGAGAGAGAAAGTGATTGTGTGTGTGTGGAGAGATAAAGTGAACGTGTGTGTGTGTGTGTTTGTGTGAAACTAGAAAGGGCAACATGAGAAGGGAAAGGAGGTCTTAAAAGGGAAGAAAGGGGGCAGAATAGGGAGGTAATAAAATACACGTGACATATAAGTAGAAAGAGAGCTACCAGGAGTCCAAGAAAACCAGCAGCAGTAGGACAAGGAGGGGGTTATTGGAAGAGGAAAATTACCAAAAACAAAGTATAGGAAAATGCTGTGATGAAACTTATTATCTGGTATATTGACTCAACAAAACAAATTTTAAGTAATGTCTGTTTAAAATTATTAATGTATGAACCACTACTTATATAAAATATAACAAAATATAGGTTTAACCTAATTGTGTTTGGCATTTTTGCACAAACTCACCAGGAGGTTCATCTCCAAGCTTGATAAAGGAAACTAGGTGAGAAGAACTGGGGTTTGAGAGTGCAAGGGCTATGATGGGCCAAAGCAGGAAAAGTGATGGCTAGTGCATTGATCAGAAGGATTGGCAAAGGCTGTAGCCTTGTAGCCATTGAGGAGCTTCCACTTCAGTGAATTTCTTCCTGGTTGCCTTAGTGTCTTGGATTCTTTTAGTTACTTTTGGCTCCAATCTGAGATCATGACCAAGCTAATCAAGAGGCACAATGAACCCTATAAATGTATTTCAGATGATCAGCTGGGCGTGGTCTCAAGAGGTTCCACAAAAAGTCGTGTATTTATTGTACTTTATTCATTCAACAAGAAGTTATTGAGTATCTATGATGTTCAAGGCATAATGTTAAAATCAGTGGTGACCCAAACAGATGTGAAGTTCTTTCAGGAAACTCGCAACTCCATTTAAGAGGAGTAAAAATATAAATCATGCAAGTTACCCAAGCATACTCAAAAAGGTCTAGAATAATAAGTTGTGGTAGGTGTAAGACATAGGGAGGGATGTTGGGCTGGGGATATGTGAGGAGGATGCTCTGCTCTATGAATAGGAGAAAAATGTGAGACTGTCTTCTGTGAGGTTAAAGGTGGGAGGGAGGAGGAGAAATGTGCCTGGGAGCCTGACTGAAGGAGTTGAGTCATAGTCTACTGAGGCTTCTTCAGTTCTGGTTGGTAGTCTCAGGTACACGGTATGTGTGTTCTTGCAGCAGACAGTTTCTCTGAACCAAGGGCCAGCCAAAGGAATACAAACAAGTAGCTTTTTCTTCTAGTCTCAGAACTGAGGTGCCAACCCCGATCTTCCTACTTCTCTACAGACATCCACAGTGCCCATGTTCTGATTTGAATCTAGTGTTTCAAATGTTTGGGAGGGCAGTGAAACCTTTATGGGATGAGAGTCGGACTTAACTGCCCAGGCTCTTGGGGAATTCAGCGGGTACCAGAGGAGGGGTGAATGAAGGAACAAAAGGCACAAAGAAGGAGAGCAAGTCTAAAATCTGATCAAGCTCCTGTTTATTTGAAAAATTTCACACAACTTTATAGGGAGAAGGCAGGAAGGGGAAATGCGTCAGCAGGATAGTTTATGGCACAAGAGATAGCAGGGTGATTTATCATGCAAAATACTGCAAGAATGTTCGCTAAGATGTCTCAAGATGCTCTAGCCTAATGAGCTGATGTCTCAAAGTTACTGGAACATAAATCTCTCACCTATGACCTTAAAGGTCCCAGTGCAGCTGTTGATAACTTTCCACTAGCTGGCTTTGGCTCCCAGCACTTATCTG